CGGGGGGGAGCCGATGTCGAGGCGGTCCGGGAGCGCGTCGAACGAGTTGAAGCCGACGTACCCCGCGCCCCAGCGCGCAAGGTTTTCGCAGTGCTGCTCAAAGTCGCCACGGCGGACGTGCATGGCGACCAGGCCGGGGATTTGGGCGTAGCGCACTGCGCTGGGACCAGCGGCCCACGTCGAGGCCGGGTCGACGATGGCGCCAATGCCGCTGCCAGTGCCGAGGCTGATGCTGTCGTTCGGGCCGGACATGATGGGGGGTGGCGGAGGGAAGGGCTGATTGGAGAGGAAGGGGGCGGCAGCGGTGCCGGGGGAGATGAGGGCGCGATTTGTGTCAAAGGCGAGCTCGACGAGAGGGGACCAGCGGAACTCGCGGAGGGTGGGTGAGGCGGCGTATCCGGGCCATACGTCAAGGAGGCGGTTCTTGTCGCCCATGATCCTGGGGAGGGAGAGAGGTCAGTTACAGGTTACAGGCGGGGTGGGTGGGGGCAGAAACGGGGCACGTACCAGATGTCAAAAATGATCTCGGAGTCGGGGGGCATCTGAACGCATTTGTCAGGGACAGTGGCGAGGACCTCGACCCACTTTTCGACGAGGGAGCCAGCGGTGGACTCGTGTCCGAGCATTTTTGAGATGTCGCTGTTGCTCATGTAGCGGCGCTTGTGTTCTGGGCAGATGTCATGATAGTGGTCCTCGACGATGGCGACGGGGTGGGGAGCAGACGGGTCGGTGTATATGGGGGAGCCGACGGCGGGGCCTGTGGGGGATATGGGTCAGGAGGGAATGAGGGAGGGGAGAGGTGGGGACAGACCACCGAGGAGGGCAGAGAGGGGGATGCGGGAAGGGATGGGACTGCCGTTGTAGAGGGAGTAGTCGGAGCCATCCTCGTTCCAGGTGTAGTTGTAGTAGACGAAGCTGTGGGGGAGGGTGTGAATATGAGTGGGGGAAGAAAAGGAGGAGGGACAGACGTTCTGCCGGTGCGATGAGCAAGGTAGACGTGGAGGAGGAGCTCCTGCATGACGTTTCCCCAGCCGGATCCTGGGTAGGGGTGAGTGGGGGGTGGAGGAGAGAGAGTGGGAGACGTACGTCGGGCGTGGTTGGCGACAAAGAGATACTTTGCGTCAGAGGGGTCGCCCATCTGACGGGATAGTTCAACTTCGTTCTGGTGGAAACGGCCATAGAGGGGGGGCATGGGGGGCTGGTCATCGTCGACAAGGGAGGAGGAGGAGGAGGAGGGGCCCCAGTAGAGGCGGAGGAAGAGGGGGACGGCGGCGAGGGATATGAGGAAGGAGAAGACGAGCTTGGTGTAGCGGCGGGTGAGACGGGGAGACGAGTTTGGGGGAAGGGCGGGATTGGACTTGAGGGGGAGCTCGGGGTCGCGGGAGGAGAAGAGAGGCATGGTCGGGGGAGAGGCGGGGAAGGTGCCCAGACGAGGACTATTTAAGACGGGGGAATACAATCGGGCTCCACGGTGCGTCTAATCTGGGTGCAAAGACGTCCCGCGCGTGCTGCGTGGGCCTTTTCGGACGGGCTGTGCAGCCAGTCGGGTGTCGCAGACCGTTGGCCAGTCCCGATTTGGGCTATTTACAGAGTCCATCGCAGGACAGAGACGAGACGAGGCGAGGCGAGGCGAGGGACGAGTGGTGGCACTGGCTGGTCACGGCGGAGGGGTCCGAGTCCTCAGCCAACCACGATCGATCTCGTGATGCAATCTGTCGGTGGTCCAACTTTAATCGCTGACAATGGCCATGCACCCGCTCGGATGTGCGTCTCTTCCCAGGCCTCGTCCCGCCTCGCATCCGCCGCGTGTCCTCGCAGGGTCCTTCATGCACAAGGCGCCCGGCTCCTTGCCATCCCTCTTTATACAAACTCAAGTGCGCCCCAGGCCTCGTCGTCCCCCTGGGACCCCTGCACCGATCTCCGTGATCAGAGACCGACATGCTCACGCCTGTCCACCAGTGTCATCCCGTCAATGACTGTAACAATTCCTCGGCCCCGAACCCTGCTGTCGCCACATTTCAAATGATCCGGCGTCCCCCAGCCTCTGCCGTGATTCCCCTCCTCCTCCTTTCATGTTCTGCTCGCTCGCTCGCCATTCCTGCCGCACACTCATCCGAACCCATTTTTCAACGCTCTCGTATGTTCAACGCGTGTCGTCCGCTCCATGTTTACCCCATCCTGCAACAATGCCCTCCTCCACGGCTTGCCGGCCCTCCTTCTGCCCGGAGCTAGAAGGAAGTGCAGAGGATGGACGCCACATCGTCTCATGCGGTCGTTAAACAACAGGATGTTGGCTGATGGTAACCTCTTCGTCTGTGAGACCAACGAACGGCATCCACTCAAATGTGGGCCAGAGTGTTCTTTCATACGCGGCCTTTAGATTCTCGCCGTGTGCACTGGCACTCCCTCATGCAACCCTGGATGCTACGTGTACAGCCTCACTGAATCTCACTTTCCCACAAAGCAATGATGCTGCGATCTCTCAACTATGCCTGATCTGGCACCTTGGTGCGATGCTAGCCCAAATTACACTTTCCCTGTGGACAGGCCCACTGAGCAAAATTAGTCATCATCGCTCGCTCCCCTGTAAAGTCCTCGTACTTGTCAAACCTGTGTCAACCCCATATCTCCTTACTACATACCATGTACTCATACCGACTCCCTCCATCACACCCTCACATGGTGACCTAACTCAGATTGGCTTCAACAGTGTGCTGTACCATAGCGTGCCCTTCTCTTTCTCCGCTTGGCGCAAGGAGCCCGTTCCCCGAGGCCCACCACCATCGTGCGATGAGTCAGTCGGGAGTGTACAGAGCAGTCTCGGTCAACAACATACAAGGCGTGCATCACCTTGGTGCGAACAGTGCATGTTGCGCAATGCCAAAAATCCCCTTTATGGCCCTCCCGGGCCTGTTTAGCCCCCACGGTTTACTGTCCCCGCCGAATCGGAGATTTACTCTCATCACCTGCGGTACTGCCTGGTACCACATGGCTGTGCAAGGGACCGGTTAGATCACAATACGACATCGAACAGCAGGCTCACGCGATGTGGGGTTCTGTGCGTGTGGGCTTGCAGCACTACGGAATGCAGTGATCGTTCATGATGGCAACGTTCAGCGACCGGTCTGTCGCAGAGTAATCACGATGGCGCACATATCACTGCTGAACAGAGCTTTCATGTTCTCACAAATACTGGCCGACAGTCCGGTTTCCAATTGTCAAGAATCAAGCATGAAGAACAATCGCGACTTTACAAGGGAAACATCGTTTGCTGTACAATTTTCTCAGCTTCTGCCTTGCTGTCCTCTGTAGTGCCCAGCAGGCTATGTACTCTGCGACAGCATTGACAGTCCTCGACTTTCCTCTTGCACGGAGTGTGTTTCTTGATGTCTTCGGCAGCCTTTTCGCAGACAATGCGCCTCCTCAGCAGCTCCTCCCTGGCTCGCGCCAGAGGGATGGCCGTCTCCAGCCCGATTTGCTGGCCTTCCTTGACGGAGAGCGCATCGCGGCGCTGGCAGAGCTCCACGTAGGCGGGCTTGAGCCACTGCGGCACATCGTGTCGCGTTGCGAGGACGACGCGCTCGACGGGATCAAGGGGCTCTGTGAACCTCGTGATCTCCTGGACCGCGCGCTTCCGGATCCCCTCGAAGAGGAACCGCGAGGAGATGGACAGCAGGGCGACCCAGTCGTCGCGCCAGACTTTCCTCTCGTACATGCTGGAACGAAGCGCGTCAGCGTGGGCTGTTGTGCGCCAGAGGGTCGCAGGAACATCGCCGAGACGCACCCGTGGTACAGAAAAAACAGCAAGCACTCCATCTCGTGTGTCGTGACGCCGAGCAGAGGAATCGCCGTCTCCTCCGTTGCGCCGTCCGGCCCACGCTCGGCGTCTCCAGGCGGGAGCACAAGCAGGCTGCGGAAGAAATCCGAGTCGCGCTCGAGGAAATAGCGGTGGACCCTGTACAGCGTGAGCTGCTCGTGGACCGGGGTCGCTGTCAACACCTGCATGCGCATCGGGTCAGCGGTGCTGTGCATGCTCGCATGCTCGCTCAAGGCGGCACGTACGCTGAGGAACACGGAGCCGTCGCTCATGTAGAACTTGCTGCGGACCCGCACTGGACCAGCGCCACGCAAGGGGCCGCTCTCGGCCGGTGGGGGCTCCACCATCGTGCGTCCCTCCGAGCTTGGTGGTGGCGTCAGCTCCAGCTTCTGAGCTGGTGCGAGTGCGTGGGATGCTGAGGAGGCCGTCTCGTCTGGTTTGAAAGCCATAGCAGAGCAGAGCGGGTGCTCCGAAGCGAGTGGGGGCTGTCTGGCTCGCGTGCGGAGCACCCCCGGCGAGACTATGAAGGGTGTGAGGGCAAGGGATCCGACTATTTCTGCCATGGCTCCGCGCAGACCTTGTGCATGCGTCGCCAAGGCATACATCGTGCACGAGGCATCGACGCGCCATACTTCGCTGCAGCTGCGCTGGAAACGAGCGAGTCAGAGCCGCGGGCGTGGCTCATGCATCGTGACCAGCACGCCCCACACTCGTCCACGTCAATGGAATGGCCGCCACCTGTTTTGTCCATCGTGCATCTGTCTGTATCAAGGAGGTGTAGCAAATGGTTTGGATCATCCTTTGAATTGATGCCTATGTTATTGGGCAAGATAATCCTTGTGCGCCGTGGTGTTCATCCTGGATTTCATTGCCACCTCCCATTCGCCGTCACGAAACCTAATCACTCCAACATATAGTTCATAACGACCGCGACAAATGATGCGACTCGTAACGCGGGTGTCACCGCGGTGCGAACATGATATTTTGTACAATATCGGCTACCTCCTGCATTTCTGCTCCCCACGGCTCACCACTACTTCCGTTCAAACTGAGTCTAGTATTCTTGGCCTTTGGCTTCGCGCCCCCAATGCACTTGCGAAATACCTCCTCCCGGGCGCGTGCGATCCGGATGGCGACAAAGAGACCAAGTCGCTCCCCCTCGTGGTCGGACAGCGGGGTCTCGCGCACGCATAGCTCGATGTATGACGGCATGAGCATCTGCATGACGTTGTGCTTGATGGCGAGGATAATGCGCTCGACGGGGTCGAGCGGCGGGTCTTGCGATGTGAGGGCCTCGATGGCGCGCTGGCGGATTTTGTCGAAGAGGTACCGTGACGAGATGGACAGCAGCGCGATCCAATCGTGCCGTCCGAATTTCCTCTCGTACATGCTAGCATAGGACACACGTCAGCTCGAGCTCCAGCAGCACGCCCGACCCCCCGCGCGCACGCGGGGGTCGGGGCACCGCGGTACGCATACGGCGGAGGACGCACCCGTGGTATAGAAAAGACAGCAAGCATTCTATCTCGTGCGTCGTGACGCCCAGTAGAGGGATTGCTGTCTCCTCTGTGGTCCCCTCTCTCCTCCCTTCGCCCTGTGGGCACATCAACATATTGCGGAAAAACTCCGAGTCGCGCTTGAGAAAGTATCGATGGACTTTGTACAGCGTGACGAGCTCGTGGTCCGGAGTGAGTGTTCTCACCTGCGGTACACACAAGGATGTTAGCGACGCTGCGTACACTGTGCACCGGAGCGGGCGCACACTTAGGAATATGAGGTCGTCTTCGATGTAGAAGCTTGTGCTGTGGATCTTGATTTCCCGTGGACTGTGGTCCGGTGGAGAACGAGAGGCTTGCTCGATTATGGGATCCCCTTCCGGCGACCGCCAGTCTGTACAGGGTGACCCACTGATTATTGAAGCCATGATCAGTAGGGCAGTGCTGACTTTCGGCTCTGAGGTGCGAGTGTTGCAAGGATACCTATCTGGCCAGCATGCGTAGCACCATCCCGAGATTTATATGTCTATTGTCAGAGCACCTTGAGGTCGTGTTCGGTCAGGCTATCATCTTTTCTTGCCAGGTTGATTGACAACCTCAGATTACATGGTCGGTCACCTGGGGCACGTACAGATGGCATGAGGCGAGGCGAGGCGTCAACGTAGAGCCCTTCTCCAGTATCCAGAAACAAACCCATTCGAAGTCGGTGGTTTTTAGTTACAAATACAGCATGCGCGACGTGTTTATATGCAAACGCAGTCTCTGTTAAACAATTCCAGACGGGAACATCGCCCGGAATAGCACGTTCGCAGGCATCTTCGTTGCGGTCTCCGCCCCCTGCAGTGCACGCTGTGCTCTGTAGCAACAGCCGCAATTCTTATCTACGCACAATCGGAAGATCGCATTCACGCTCTCCGGGGCGGGGACCTGTCGGCGCAACATCGTCTCCCTGGCCCGTGCGATGAGGAGCGTCGCTCGAAGACCCAGTTTCTCGCCTTCCGCGTCCGAAAGAGGGTCCCCCCGCAGGCCGAGCGCGATATAGGCCGGCTGGAGCCAGGAGGGTATGTCATGCTTCACGGCGAGGACGATGCGCTCGACGGGGTCGAGGGGCGGATTGTGCGCCGCTATAGCTTGGATGGCGAGCGGGCGGATCTCCTTGAACAAGTACCGCGACGAGATGGACAGCAGCGCAACCCAATTGTCTAGCGAGACTTCCATCTTGTACATGCTGTGCAATGTGCATCGGGAGCACAGTCAGCCCCAATTCTGATTCACGATGACAACGGCATATATGCGCAGGTGGACCGACTGTGGCGCAGTGGCGAGTCTGACGTACCCGTGGTACAGAAACGACAGCAAGGACTCTATCTCGTGCGTGGTTACGCCAGGCAGGAAGATTGCCGTTTCTTCTGTGAGGCCCTCCCTCTTCTTCTCTCCGGGTGCGCACAGAAACATGTCCCGGAAGACTTCCGAGTCGCGCTCGAGGAAATACCGGTGGATTCGGTATAGTACCGACTGATGCTTATCTTCATTTGTAACCTGGGCCGTCCATGCATGTCAGTGACCCAGCTCAAGAGGCGTTTGAGGAGACGCACGCAAAGATATATCGACTCGTGTTCAAAGTAAAACCTGTCGCTTCGGACGGTTGCTGGTTCCAGTGTGTCAGGATGCGCAGATTGTGGCCCCATATCATTCTGCGCGTGCAGTTTTGGGCCCTCTGCGATCACCCTTTGCTCAGGAGGTTCGTCATGGCTGTCTGAGCTCAACGACGCAAATGTAGGATCTAGGACTTGAGACATGGTAGAACAAAGTGGGCACCCGACAACGAGGGCTCAGCTTGGCACTGATCCTTCTAATGAGTGTGGCACACTGCGAGGTCCTTGTCCTCCGTGCGTGTGTGAGGTCCTATTTGGCGTAGGGGGCGCAAATATGATCTGTTGACACTTTGGAGTTACTAGTTATCCTAAGAGGTATCGATGGCGCTGGAGGGAAAACGTTCTGAGATATATGCAGATGAGTGGCTTGAGCCCTCTGCCAACACGAGCAGGTTTCCTACCCATTACAAGAACGCCGCACTGCTAACTCCAGACCATGCATGACAGAGAACAAGCTTAACCTGGATAGTATTTATCCTCAGTGGGTGGGCATGATGGGGTTTGGGCGCAACATTTTCGCTGCACGATTTCCAGCGCGATATTTGTCGAACAGCTTGACGAAAGTGAGTATATCATCATTGAGCAACTATGGGACGTCTGTGAGTCTGAATGACGGCGACTTACAAAACGGAGGATCTAGGGCCAGATCACGTCTAGGATGATCATATCTCCATTATGGTACACGGACCTGAACGCGATAGTGTAACGACGTTGACGTTGGACAATGATGTGTAGGCCTCAATGCCAACATACAAGGAATGCTACCTCTCCTCGGATGCACTCTACAATAAACATATGCAGCTGCGGTGGTAACGCGAAGCAAATTTAGTATACGTTTGGGGTTCAGTACGTACATAGTTGATAGCCCGTGTTAGGAGAACGACTCTAGAGGCTGTGGAGACAACGTCAGAGTCATGTGTTACCTGGGTCCTACGCCAATCATCTGAGTGATCATGAAGCATACTCGGTATGATATAAATCGAGGGTCGGAATGTGCGTGCGATCCTACAAACAAGGCTAAGCTTGCTGAATTCAGGACCATGATCCGATATGTAAACACAGCTAGATCAGAAGTCCTGATTGTAGATAGGCCCAGAGTGGAGAATATGAACGACTACGCTCCACAACATTTTCGGCTGTTGCAAGAGGCAAATGTTAACACAATGAGAATCACCTTCAAGCCTCTCGCCCTTGTCCAGATGATCCTGGTCTCCAGCCCTTCTAAGCCGATCGAGCTCGTGGCAAAAGGCAACGTTCGCCGCGCAGCCGTCACTGAGACGTACGAAGACAAGATCCATACCGCGCGTATGATCGTGCGGAAGAAAGCTCCCAGTCAAACATCCACTCCCATTCAATGAGATCCCAAGGGGGCTACTCAATTTTTTGTTTGCGCGGTAGTGCACAAGGTTATGCTCATGTGATGAATGATGACAATGACCCTTTCCACTACGGATGCGATAGGTCTGTTCACTTGTATGAATTCATAGTGGTAGGCAACTAATGAATGTTCTGTCAATCCACAAGCATAATGGATCTGTAACACGTTGCTGCGTGTGGTGCATGACTCGACCAAGGCGAGCACGCACAACGTCGCAACCAACTTCGTGTATGACCATCCAATGATATAGGCACCGCGCAGTACATCCTGGGCGTCGCGGGCGGAGAAGTGCAGGAGACCGTAGTAGACGCCACGACACGTATCGACGCGATGGACTCCATGGCGGCCAAGTACGAAAGACGTTCCTTCTCACCAGGGCAGCGTTGTTCCGGAGAAGGACGGGCACGACGTCGAGTTGCTTACTGAGTCCACTGGCAGTCTTGGGTGTGGCATCCTGGTGAAGCTCTTGTCCGACTCAAAGGTCTCCCGCGTGTATGCATTTAACAGGCCGTCGAGGGATGGTACGGCCCTGCGTGAGAGGCAGGGACCTCCTAGATTGGGTCACTTCGGATAGGCTTTCCCTCGTGGAAAGAGAAGTCGCCGATGTCGGGTTTGAAATTTCCAGTCAAAAATATGAGGTACGTTGTTGTCCCCTGGAACGATGTCCCGCCAATCAGCAACGATTGGCGGGCGATTTTGTTTGCCCTTGAGAATGTATCTGTATTACGAACACAGACGCGCAACGCGGAGATGACCTTTTTTTTGAATCCGGTTTTCTTGCCCGCGAGGGCCTGGCCCTATGTAGGGAGATGACCTTCCCGAAGCACTTGTAAAGGGGGATTATGCTGTCGGCACCGAATACGCGGAGTCGAAATGGGTCGTCGAGCAGATTTTATACGAGGCAACAGAAGCAGCGGCGTTGGACGCTATGGTGATGATGCGTGGGCTAGATCACAGGAAGCGCAGACGGCGCACGAAGCACGCAGGAGTGGGTTCCGTCGATGGTGCAGAGCGCGTCGCGGTTGGGGTGCTTCCCCGACGACGAACGTGTGCGTATTCGATATTGACGTCTACCATTTCGAGATGCCTGGCGTTGACTCCGACTTTCGCGTGTGCTTACAGGGTAAATCTGAGGGACGATGGCGCTTGGGATGGAGGACGTCCCCGTGGCGCGGACGGTGTGGAAGTGTCGGCGACGCTGGGCGGATCCTGGATTGGTGTAGCTGGGCGAAGAGAACGTGAAGTGGTTGTTTGTCGAGTAGACAGCTGTGTTATACGGAATAAGGACTAGACAGATGGTGGCCATCACAATTGGATGATGATTTGCCGAGCAGCCGCCCCGCCGGCGA